GGGAGCCAGGCGAGGGATGCAGGAGCCCGTCTCCCAGCATTTTCTCCCTCTTCCCAGGTGTCTCCCAGCTTGCGCTTCTCTCCGTAGGGGGGATTTTGGGGCAGGGAGGTGAAGCCCAGGCAGATGTCCCACCTGGGCTGCAGCAGACATGGTCCTTGCCCAGGAACCTCCCACAGAGCCCCAGTTTCTTCCCCCTTGCCCTGGCTCAGGCCCTTCCCAGTTGGCCGGTAGCAATGGGACAGTGTCACCCTGCACACTGGGTGCCCACAGGGACGTCTCCAGTGCTGGAGAGGTGACAGGCAGGACACATGCCCCATCACACCCTGGACTCCCATCGCACCGAGGTGCCCCCCTGCACTCTTTTACAGCCCCGTGGGTGACGCACCAAAGGAACCTGGAGAAAACCAAGCTGCAAAATAACCCCCTGCTCACCGTGTGCCCAGCTCCCGGCCTCGCCGGTCACCCTGGCACACACCCAGACCCACACGCCCGCCGGGACGGTGCCACAGGGCTCCCAGCAGGGCAGGAGGGGGGCAGGGGGATCCCCCACCTGCTAGCGGGGTTCCCATCCTTCCTGACCTTCTCCCCTTCCCTCCCCAGATCTTCAAGAATCACCCGCTGAAGCGGAATTACAACGTGCAAGCCATGGTCACCCCCAACGAGCCGGAGCCCAACACGGCGCTGCTGTCCCTCGTCCTCATGGCCGGCACCTTCTTCATGGCCATCTTCCTCCGTCAGTTCAAGAACAGCTCTTTCCTGCCTGGCAAGGTGAGGGTGGGAGCTCGGGGGGGGACGCCGGTGGCAGCCCCCCCGCCTCCCCCTTACCCCACGGTACCCGAGGGCGGCACCGGGGGCAAAAACGGGGGCTCAGCGGGTGCGGTTCCCTGAAAGGGGCTGGCTGAGGCCGTGCAAACTCATTGCACGCTCCCGCAGAGGTCTGTGCTGGAGCTCGCTGCCCGTGGGGACACGGCAGGGGGGGCCCCCGCCTCGGCGGGGGGCGTTTGACGCGGTCACGGTGTCCCCACAGGCCCGGCGCTTGATCGGGGACTTCGGGGTGCCCATTTCCATCTTCATCATGGCGCTGGTTGACTTCTTCATCAAGGACACGTACACGCAGGTCCGGGAGCAGCGGGAGGGCAGGGCTGGGGGCGGGGGACAGACACACAGAGCTGGGTGCTCGTCCCTGTGCCCCGTCCCTGTCCCCTCACTCCCCCATCTCCCATCCAGAAACTGACTGTCCCCAAAGGGCTGGAAGTCACCAACTCATCTGCCCGGGGCTGGTTCATCAACCCCATGGGGAACGAAAAGAAATTTCCCATCTGGATGATGTTCGGCTGCGTGGTGCCTGCCATCCTGGTCTTCGTCCTCATCTTCCTCGAGACACAGATCACCACGTGAGGACCGGGGAGGGGTACGGGGAGGGAGAGGAGGGCTGCAGGGTCCTGGCAGGACAGGGATGGAAGGGGACTTCCCACCACCGACTCTTCCCCCTCTGTCGCCGGCAGTCTCATCATCAGCAAGCCCGAGAGGAAGATGGTGAAGGGCTCTGGCTTCCACCTGGACCTGCTGCTGATCGTGGCCATGGGGGGGCTGGCCGCCCTCTTCGGCATGCCCTGGCTCAGCGCCACCACCGTCCGCACCATCACCCACGCCAACGCCCTCACCGTCATAAGCAAGTCCTCCGCGCCCGGCGAGAAGTCCCAGATCTTGGAGGTCAAGGAGCAGCGCATCAGCGGCTTGTTGGTGGCCGTACTCATGGGTGAGCCGGGGAGGTGCCCCCCAACCCAGCCAGCGAGGGCCGGGTGCCCCCAACAGCTCTCCCTGACCTCTCCTTCTGCACCGCAGGCGTCTCCATCCTCATGGAGCCCATCCTGAAGCACATCCCGCTGGCCGTGCTCTTCGGCATCTTCCTCTACATGGGTGTCACCTCCCTCTTCGGCGTCCAGCTCTTCGACCGCATCCTGCTCTTGCTGATGCCACCCAAGTACCACCCCAAAGAGCCCTACGTCACCCGGGTGAGTGAGCCCCATGTCACCCGGCTGGTGGCCGTGGGTTTGGGGGTGTCCTGGGCCGCAGCACCCCATTGTGCAATTGCTTGGGGCTCCCCAAAGAGCTTCCTCCTTTGGTGCTGACCTTCGCTGGGCTCTTTGGGACACGGGTTGTGCCCACCCCCAGCACCCCGGGAAGGGCGCAGGGTGCTGGACCCACCACCCTGACCCCGCCGGGCTCCTCGTCCCGCAGGTGAGCACTTGGCGGATGCACCTCTTCACCTTGATCCAGATCATCATCCTCGTGGTGCTGTGGGTGGTGAAGTCCACCCCGGCCTCGCTGGCGCTGCCCTTCGTCCTCATCCTCACCGTGCCCCTGCGGCGCTTGGTGCTGCCCAAGATCTTCCGGGACATCGAGCTCAAATGCGTACGTAGCCCCGGCACGGGCTGGGAGCCAGCGCGGCGCTGTCCCCGTCCCTGTGTCCACCCCCACCCCTGTCCCCATCCTCATCCCCATCTGTGTC